TGCTGCGAAAAGATTCATTTGAACATCTGTCTAGCATCAGTGGATGAGAATGGTCCAAGAGAGGACGAAAAATTTGTCATATCAGTGATGCAACGATGAATCAACAGTTGATCAAACTATCAAGGTTTTATTTTTCTTCAAAATTTTTTGGTTTTTCTGAGATTTCGTAATGATACAATCCAAAAAACTATAGCTTCCCAGACTCTGTTCCTACATTTATACGCCTATACGTAGTGGTGGATACGATAAGCTCAGAAAGCAAAACGTAAAAATCGCTGACTATGTTGACAGCGAAAAAGCATGCGCCGATAACACAGCAACAAAATCGAATCAAAATATCCATGTTTTTCCCACAACCTCTATGAGTCGATGGAAATTTGGCCTAGCAATCCCATGTTACTTAGCTTCATTGCAGACTGTACGGATTCTGCCTACTGCCAGTGCCTTTCAGCAGAATCTGATTTCAAATTCGATGAAATGGGCTAGCGAAAATAGAGCAACATGCACATGCACATACCTAATGAAACATGCACAAGGCAATGTTACCTATAATTGGACATTAGGCACCGGAAACTTGTCATGGGAGCAATTACGTAACTTTGTTGGCACTTCTCCAACAAGTTTCGGATGAAGACTGCGCTAATCATACACAGTGCAGAAGTGCTAACCTCATAATCTAAAACAGTCTATAAACTTTGGAAAAAATCAGTCTCGGGAATGAAGACCTGTGATTGCCTTTAGCTAACCAAGTAGCCTTCGAGGAAACATACTAGGAAAAATATAATGTTTTCATAACCTGGTCGATTTTGAAAAAAAAAAAACCATGATTTCTAATTGTAGGACGCCAGATCAGGGCATAAACAGTTTAAAAAAATACAGTTTTGTAAATCAAAATCGAATTCTCTCTGCAGTAAACGCAGTCTTCAAGCATAACCTCATACTGAAAGTCCGAGTGATGCAGTCGACGGATTTCCAAGCAAAAAATCCGTGAATATTTCGGGTTTTAAGGCCAAGGATGAAAGAGGGCGGCGTGAAGTGGCGCCGCTCAAAATAAAATTGAAAATACAAGAAAGCACAATGAAAAAAAAAAACCGTTATTAGACAGGTGAATTCGATAAAACGTTTTCCCAACGTTGGTACATGCCGATTATAACTAATTGTTACGCGTACAAGCATCGCATGAAATAACCTATCGCGTACGGCACCTGTAATAGTAAATAATGAGTGACGTGAAAAATGAGGTATAATCCAGTATTTTCCGGGAAGAATGAGGTCAGAGAATGAGGGCCAGCATCACTCTGACCACAAGATAACGAGGTTTCGATCACAGCAACCGTAGAAAGACTGCCAACTGTGCAGAAGATACAAACGGTGCCAAGGGTGCTTGTCTAGCTGAACGGAACAAAAAACTTGTTAGTTACCGAAACTGGATGCCTCGGGTATGATTTTATCAGGAGTGCCATTTAGCTTTGCTCGCAAGCAGTCCTTGAAAAAACGGACCATCAACGACTCTGCTACAGGAATTGGCAGGTACTGTGGGATCAATTACGAGTGCTTTTTCGATGGCTGCTCATAAATTTAAACAGAATAATAACTGATCACTTCCTGAAGTAATCTCAAATATCTCTGCGGTAAAAACCGCTTGTTTTTAGGCCTAAATCTTCTGAAGGATGGTCGTTTATAAAAGAGGAGATAAGGCGAACTGACTATTTTTTTTTAAGAAAAAGCCCCATCCCAAGCAGTATGATGCATTTTCGTTGGGAAAAACCGGATGTACTGAGGATTAAACAACAGCAAGCGTAGAACAAGTGAAGATGAGTGGTTCGATGAAGCAACTGATCAAAAAGCCACAGTTAAATTCAACTTTAAAAAGTCAAAATTAACTTCAACTTTAACTTCAATTATTTATGGTGCATTTGGCAGATGGTGAGCTCATGTCAGTCGGTAAAGTTGCCTAAAGATGGCTAACACTAACAATTTGAGACCAAAGCCATTGTACTGACGAGGTCCAGTAGTGGTGCTCAACAGGAATGTACAAGAATGCAGCGACGAAAACATCTCTGTTTAGCTACAACTTAATGCTAATTTTTTAAATTTTAGAAAAATACACCTTTAAACCATTACATAACGAATAAAGCCTAGCCAAGCGCTTCTATCGATAGAAAACAAAGAGTGCTATCGAAAGCCAGTGAGCTGCTAATCCCTTTCAAAAACTGTCGAAAGCAGGCAGGCTGGTCATCCTGCACTGGTCAAAGCGACTAAAAACGTTGCTAGCTGTCTAACTAGAGCGCGAGACTATAAATTAAC